GCATGGAGCAAAGTGAAGGAACATCAATCTCCTCACCTAGTTCCATCAGACAGGAGGTCAGCTCTGGTGTTCTGTTCTCGCGGTACATGCTGTATAGTGAACTCGTCGAAGGACGAGATCTGTTGTGATGCCATGTGGAAATACCGTTGTAGGAGAACGTCCTTGGCCTGGTATGTTCCACTAAGCTGCTCGACCATAAGTTTCGAGTCACTGTTGCACCTTACTCTCCAAGCTCCGAGGTCATGAGCCAACCTTAGCCCTGCAAGAAGCACCTCGTATTCTGCTTGGTTGTTGGTTACCTTGAAGCTAAATTTGAGTGATTGCTCCAACGTGACTTGGTTTGGCCCCTCCAAGATGATACCTGCCCCACCACCTTTGGAGTTGGAGGACCCGTCGACGTGTAAAATCCATACCTGTGGTTCTTCGACTGAGGTAGGAGTGAGTTCGGCTACGAAGTCGGCCAAGCATTGGGCTTTCAGGGCTCCGCGACTTTCGTACTGGATGCCGAACTCGGATAGTTCTACCGACCAGGCTATCATCCGCCCGGCGAGCTCCGGCTTCCTTAGGATTTGCTTGATAGGGTAGTCGGTCTTGACGACTACTTGGTGACTTTGGAAGTAAGGTCGGAGGCGCCTGGCTGCCGTGACAAGGGTCAGTGCAAGCTTCTCAATGGTTTGGTACCTCTTCTCCGTGTCTTGGAGGACTCGGCTGATGAAGTAGACCGGCGTCTATGTTTTTTGGTGCTCCTGCACTATGACCGCACCGATTGCAATTTCTGCCACTGCCAAGTAGAGGAGGAGGTCGATTTTGTGGTCCGGTCTCTGCAAGATTGGCAGATTCGTGAGAAAGGTTTTGAAACTTCAGAAAGCTTCCTCGCACTGATCCGTCCACTGGAAGTCTTTTGGCTTCCGTAACAGAGTGAAGATTGGCCCTGCTTTTTCCGCGAGTCTTGGGATGAAACGGGACAGTGAGACCAACCTTCCGGCTAGGCGTTGGACTTCTTTCACCGTTTAAGGACTCTACATCTGGATGATGGCTTTGCACTTCTCCGGGTTGAGACGCAGGTTGTGTCTCCTGATTTGGCTGAACACCCCGGCGAGGTCGGCAGCATGGTCCGCGGCTGAGGTGGTTTTGCCCACCATGTCGTCAACGTAGACCTCCATATTCCGGCCAATCTGTTGATGGAAAACCTTATCCATCAGTCGCTGATAAGTGCCCCCCGTGTTCTTGAGACCGAAAGGCATCACTCGATAGCAGTAATTGGCGTGATCAGTGATGAATGACGTGTGCACCTCGTCTGGTGGGTACATCATGATCTGGTTGTACCCGGAGTAGGCGTCGAGAAAATTGAGGAGGGCGTGCCCGGATGCCCTGTCGACCAGCCTATCGATACTCGGCAATGGGTATGAATCCTTGGGGCATGCCTTGTTCAGGTCGGTGTAGTCGACGCACATGCGCCATTTGCCCGAGCTTTTTTTCACCAATACCACGTTTGCCAGCCACGTGGTGTATCTGCCCTCACGGATGAAGCCAGCGTTCAGTAACTTCTGGGTTTTGGTGATAATGGCTTCTCGCCTTTTGCCCCCGACCTTTCGCTTCCTTTGAGCTACTGGCTTTGCTTCCTTATGTATTGCTAACCTGTGACAGATGAAGTTAGCATCAATACCTGGCATATCGGCACTGGACCAGGCAAAGAGGTCGACATTCTTGAGGACTTCAGCCTCGAGCTGTTGTCGTAGCTCCGGGCTCAACTGCCTGCTGATCTTCGTGCATTGCCCCGGGAGTTTCCCGATCTGGAGGTCATCGAGCTCGTCGATGGGACTTGGTCGCTCATCATGGGAGTCGAACCTTGGATCGAGATCGCCGACATCCACGTGGTTGATGTGAGCCACTGTAGGGGGGTCGCTCTTGCACTGCTCGGTGGAAGGGGAGACTTTCAGGCTCTCGGTGTAATATTGCCGGACTGTTTTTTGGTTTGCCTTGACGGAGATAATCTTCCCACCATTCCCCGGGAATTTCATGGTGAGGTGTGGGGTAGACACCACTGCCCCGAGTTGATTCAAGGTCGGCCTCCTTATGATTATGTTGTAGGGGCTCTGTGTGAGGTTGGATGAGAGAGTGAGGGATGTCTAACTTGAGGAACGTCGGCCAATATAGGACGCCAGCCGAGCTCCCTTGGTCGATCAGTGACTTGTGGACCTCCCAATTAGCTACCTCCACGACGATGACCATAGGATCATCCTGGTTGGGGCTGACGCCCGTGTAGTCGTTGTCGGTGAAGGCGATGGGTGGCAAGCTCTGGTCCGAAGCCGAGGTGGTGGAGTGGACGCTATTGATGTTGCGCAGGTGCCTCTTCCGGGCTGAGCTGCTGGCGCCTCCCCCTGCGAAACCACCTGCAATTGTGTTGATCACTCCCCGTAGGGGGGCTGACCTTGTCTCCTGGCTTACCTCGACTTGCATTGCTCCACCGACGTTTTGCTAAGAACCAGAGGGTTGGTCCATGCGAGCTCCCGAACCACGGCCTCTACCTCGCCCTCGTCCGCCATAGCCTCCTCGGTGACCCTACTGTCTTTTGACATATTGGCCGAGGTGGCCCGCCTGGATGAGTTTCTCAATGTGGTCTCAGAGCATGCGGCACTCTTCAGTGGTGTGACCGTGGTTCTTGTGGTACCGACAGTGTTTGGACTTATCCGCACTGTTGGGTGTATGACCTGGCGGTGGCAGGGTGAGCAAGTTGTTGTTACTGGCCTCCTCCAGGATGTGAACCATGGGCGTGTTCAGGGGAGTGTAAAAGTCGTATCTCCCCCCCTTGCTTGTCCTAACAGTTTTCTTGAACTGGCTATCGTTGGTGACACTCATCTTGTCCTTGTGGCCACTGTCAGTCTTTGCTTGTGATTTTCCGCGAACTTGGTCATGGAAGGCGGGGTGTTCCTCCCTTTGGATATATCCACCAGCACAAGCGCGAAGCTCGTCCATATCGCGAGGAGCTTCACGACATAGACTGTCAACGAACGATCCGGGCTTGAGTGCCATGAGCATGGCTGTAGAGCGACCTCAGGGTTCAGATTCTGGATCTTTACCGAGATGGCGGCAAATCGTTCCATGAACGCCCAGAGTGGCCGTCGTCATTCAGTCTGAGACTGGCCAGGGCGGCCGACGTGATGTGATGAGGTCGGCTCGTTGCATACTGCGCCGTGAATTGCCTGACCAGAGTGCTGAAGCTGTCGATTGACTCAGCGGGGAGCTAGGTGTACCAATTGAGTGCAACCCCCTTGAGTGAGGTCAGAAAAACCCTGCACAGTATAGCGTCGTTATTAGTGTAGAGGTTTACCTGCGTTGTATACAGGTCAATGTGCTCATCCGAGTCCGTCGTGCCGTCGTAACGGTCGAGGTGGAGAGGTTTCCATCCATGTGGGAGCGACGTCTCCATGATGCCATCCACGAAGGGGTGACGGCGGAAGGTTGCCTGATCCCCCGTGACATGAGTAGGGACCTTGCTGAGTTCATGGACCGACTTGTTCGTCGGTGCATGAGACCAATGCGTGGCAGGTCATGGAGTCGGTGCCCTAGTCGCAATTTGGGGCTGAGAGACCGAATGCCCTTCTTCCTCGTGGAGGTTGCTCGCCTCAAGAGGATGATCAAAGGGGCGTCGAGGGGGCTGGGCGCGAATTCGCTCGTTTTCAGCGCGTAGTGCCGCTAGGTCAGCTTCATTGGCGGTCCGCATTGCGGCTAGGTCGGTTTCGTGCTTGGCATGCATGTTTTGCAAATCGGCGTCGTGTTGTTGCCGCATCTGTTCGACCTGTTCGATCAGCCTTCTCAATGTCGCTTCGTTGTCCATGCTTGTCGTGCGATCTACGTCATTTGTTGCGCGTCTACTATGGCTTCGGGTGAATACCATAAGCGTGGCCGATAAGAGCTGTCTTGATCGGCCCCACGGTGGGCGCCAAATGTTCTTACTGGGAATCCAAGGTAGGGATGGTCATCTTAATTAAATATATTCAATGGTTATTAATTTTGTTGGAGAGAATGTTATAGGAAAGGATCCGAATTATTTTTTTTCATCCTAACAATAACTTAAAGGTTAAGAAAGTGAAATTTTCAAAGGTAATTTAAAGGCTTAATTGCATTTTTGATCCCTCAAGTATTACAATTGTGCAATTTTGATCCTCAAGGTTTTAATTAGGTAACTTTAGTAGTTAAAGAATTGCAATTGTGCAATTTTGGTCCTTTAATTTTTAATTGAACAATTTTAGTCCCTCAAATATCATAATTGTGCAATTTTAGTCCTTCAAATATCATAATTGTGCAATTTTAATCTCTCTCATTACAAATTTAATAATTATAATATATATATATACAATATTTTAAAAATATATAATTATTTATCTATTCAAGTTAATGTATATTATAATTTTCGTTAATGTATCAAATAATATATATTTATTATTATTACTAAATAAATAAAATTTATATATTATTATTTTTATAATATTACTGATAAATTAATATCAATAATATTATTAGTATATTTATAGATAAATTAATAATTTGATAAATATAACTTAGTATATATTAATATCCTTTTACAAAAATATAAATATATATCAAACCAGTATAAAAGTTATTGTTAGTAACTTTTAATTTTATATTAAAATTATTAAATTTGTAATAAGAGAGACTAAAATTTCATAATTATGATATTTTATGGACTAAAATTGTACAATTATGATGTTTGAGGGACTAAAAGTGTTCAATTAAAAATTAAATGACCAAAATTGTATAATTGCAATTTTTTAAGAATTAAAATTACCCAATTAAAACTTTGAAGATTAAAATTATACAATTACAATACTTGAAGGATCAAAAATGCAATTAAACCTAATTTAAATTAAACAAGTGGACGTAGTCGATGACGTAGTTTATAGTTTATGGTACGTGGTCGATGACGTGGTTTTTGTTTTTTCTTTAATTTTTTGTTTCTTTTTTCTTACTATTTAAACACCACACGTGACGTGAAGCATCGTGGGATAACAAGGTTTTAGATTTCGAAACTACGCAAGAAGGGAAATTAGATATCAAGATGGCTCTGCCCAAAGCAAAGGAGATCGTGTCGGCCAATTCCGTCGTCGTTTTCAGGTCTCTCTCTCTCTTTTCTGTTATGTGAATTTGAATGATGCTCACAAATATCACAACCAACTCCATTTTTTTTTCTCTTCTGAAAACGGCGGTTTATGATTGCGTTTGCAGCAAAACTTATTGCCCTTTCTGCGTTGAAGTGAAGAATCTCTTCGGTAACCTCGGTGCCACTTACAAGGTCGTCGAACTCGACACTGAAGGTTCGTGCTTTTTCAATTTTTAATCTTTTCGCTTAACCATTTTGGGTTTCTCTCTGAACAAAAGATAAAATATTGTGAAGGTGTATACCACCGAGATTATTTTTTTTAAGGAATCGTTGTTTTCGATTCGTTACACCCGCTTAGGTTTTTCAATTTTGAATATGAAGCGTGTTATGGTGACCCTATTTGTATTTTCCTTTTGTTCTATTCTGCTCTATTAATCATGCGTGATTTTGCTAGTTCCAACTTCAATTTCACGTGTTTGAGAAATAAAGACAATCATTTGAAATCGGTTGATTTCTCTTGCAATTAGAGTGATGATTTTGTTGTTTGTTCAGTTCTTGGGATGTCTTGTTGTCCAGAATTTCACCTTGGCTGTTAATGATTGGGGTGAAACTGTACTTGCACAATGTACTATTTGAAATGGATGTTAAATGGTTTTGGTTGGTGTTTTGTTATTGGTAAGGGTGAATTTTAGCATTGTGTGGTCCTCTCTCAATATTACAAGGTTTTGTTGTGTATTTCAGTATAGATATACATGTGCCTAAACTGCCTTATGTTTAACAGGCAATGATTTATTTGTAGATTTTGTATTAAGGTAACTGACTGATAGAAGGTTAGAGAGGTATTGGTTCTTTAAGAGTTGTACACACTACCACAAAATGATGTTATTTAGTCACAAGAAATTACAGTTCCTTGTTTTCGTAGCATATGTTGTTGTAATTTAGTCGTGTGGGAAGCTAATAACTTTTCACAAAATGTATGGAATTCAGTATTTGGATTTCCTTCTTTGTGTGATTTTGCCCCTGGGTCTCACAAACAATGGCACGTACAGAAAGGAGAGAAAAGAACTCAGGATACAAGTAGGACCCCATGTGACAAATGGGTTCTACATGAAACCCGAGTTATCATAAAAACCTTATGGGATAAAGACTTCTATGTCTTTGGTTCCGACAATCTCCCTTTTTTGATGAGGAGTCTCTCTGACAATTTTAACTTCATGATTACATGTCTTTGCAACAATCTCCCCTTCTTTAAGGGTGTTGGAGATTGTTGGAACCAAAGACATGTAATTTAGCCTCCATGTCTTCCGAGTGACAAATTTAACCTAATGATTTCTTGGTTGGACATTGTGCAGCTGATGGAAGTGAGATCCAAACAGCATTAAAAGAGTGGACTGGTCAGCGAACTGTGCCAAATGTGTTTATTGGCGGAAAGCACATTGGTGGCTGTGACTGTAAGAATTATATCTTTTTTATAGATCTACACAAGTTTAAGAATTATTAGATTTCATTTTACATGGTTAAATTTCTTGTGCTTCTATGCAGCAACTACTGCCTTGCACAATCAGGGGAAGCTGTTACCTTTGCTGGAATCCACAGGAGCTGTTGCCAAATCAACTGCTTAAAGGAGCTTGATTTCTGGGTTATGTAGTTAACTAGCATAATAAAAATCCCATGTAATTGGATTGGTTGTAATTCAAGTCCCAGAAGCTACTGTGTTTATTGATTCCTGTGTGATTCTCTTTATTAAAGACTAAATCTCTGTCAAACAAGTCTATTGCTGAATGAAGTTATAGTTGTTCACAACAGATATCTTTTCATAGTTACACAGT